TGCAGTCTCATGTCATTCGTACGAGACTGCTGGAACAACCATCTCTAAACGTTCAGTCGGCATACGATATGGCCAGATCCCTTGAAATTGCCCAAAAGTAATCACGGTCGTACGAATCAGAGAGCGTTCCATATGCGTCGACTAATCGGCTTCCTTCGACCAATTCCGTCGCCGACCCTGAATCCGTTCTATCAGCGGCTTCTAAAGAGGTATGCTATTTTTGCGGCTATTCGAAGCAAACCCCGTACCAAGTGCCCCGCTAGGGAGGCCGTCTGTAAAAGATTTGGAAAATGCCATGCTCGTGACCGTAGATCCTGAGATCCCCTTGGTCGTAGAAACGGATGCTTCTGATGTAGCTATAGCAGCATCACTCACTCAAAATAACCGCCCTGTAGCCTTCTTTTCACGCACTCTGACTCAAAGCGAACGACACCACTCCGCCGTCGAAAAGGAAGCCTGCGCCATAGTCGAATCAATTCGCTAGTGGCGACACTATCTTTTGGGCAGGCACTTTAAACTTATTACAGGTCAACGTTCGGTAGCCTATATTTTCAATAACAACCACGCTAGTAAAATCAAAAATGACAAAATCCAGAGATGGAAACTCGAGCTATCAGCTTACCACTATGGCAGTATACCGACCCAGTAAAGACAACTCCGTCGCGGATGCACTCTTCCGTAAAGTATGTGCTTCCAACTTCGAATGCCATAAACTGAGGACGCTACACGACTCGTTGTGCCATCCTGGAATCACGCGTATGATTCACTTCGTGCGCTCCAAAAATCTACCGTACTCGGTTGAGAAAGTTAAAACAATGACTTCTCGATGCAGCATGTGCGCCGAATTGAAACCGCGTTTTCATAAGTCGCTCTCGGGGCATCTGATCAAGGCTACGCAGCCATTTGAAAGACTCAGTATCGACTTCAAAGGGCCGTTACCATCAGTATCTCGTAATCGGTACATTCTGACGCTCATAGACGAATATTCCCGGTTCCCATTCGCCTTCGCCTGCCCAGATATGCAATCGCCTACGGTCATTAACTGCCTCTGCCAACTATTTTCGATCTTCGGGATGCCAGCCTACATTCACTCGGATCGGGGTTCATCGTTCTTATCGTCTGAACTATCAGCTTTCTTACGAGATAAAGGAGTGGCTGTCAGTCATACAACCGCCTACAATCCGCAAGCTAATGGTCAGGTTGAGCGACTGAACGGTACTCTTTGGAAGACTATTTCCCTGGCACTGAAGACGAGAGGCCTAGCTATCTCCCAATGGGAATCCGTCTTACCAGACGCACTGCACTCGCTTGAGCTTGAATGCAAGACCGAACTTCTGCTTTGCTGGAGGATTGCATGACACTGCCCACGGAGCTTCAGTCGCAGATGAAGCAGCCTGGTTAGCACCAGGCCAACTGAACTGTTCGCTGAAGTCTTCTGCTCAGTGATCGAGTCGTTGATCCCTACTGTGAATAGCTTATCCCCTCTAATCGCAAACTGTTTCACTAACTGGAGTTCGCCGTCCTCCCGTATTGCGTATCAGTCGGAACAGTCTTTGACTATTCCCTGATGCAGCTGCTACTTCTATTTCACTAGCTATTGTTACCCACCGGTTCTCACTATCCTTCTTGGGGCTCTTCGTCAGCCAACGTTGCAGACGCCACCTAACTTTGTTTTGATCCTGGCAGGTCGTTATTTGTCGTTTTTGATCCACTGGTGCAACGGACTCATCAGATATCCAATGCCTCCTACGGGTTTAATGCTCAGACCCACAAGCAACATTCGCTGCAGAGTGCATTGCTCGTTTAATCTGATCCCATTGCTCATCTACATCACCATAATGAGGTGTGTTCACGCACTAGCTCTGATTCATAGCGTACACGAACTGCTGGAACGGATTTGGCAGCGGTCAGTAAAGTTCGCTTCACAGTATTTCGCTGTACGATGATGATGATGACTGCTGGAACAGATAGTCGATGATGAGCTGTACGAGTGTCTTGAATTCGTCACCGGCCAATTAGTCGGAGATTAAACCGCATCAAAACTAATGCATGGTCAGATTCAACGCGGGTGGTTCAAAAGGACATGGAATTTTGGACTGAGCCACGCCAACGGTAACTTACTGCTATGTGGTCGATTTGAGTTAGACTACCAGTTGAACTAGAGCACCACGTTGCCGTCCGTCGAGAGTTATGTCGGAAGTTGGTGCTTGATAGGACCAGATGATGGTCTGCGCAGAACTGAAGAAGTCAATCGCCGTTATCTGTTGGCTGGGTAGAGCACAACTACCGCCTAGGCAAACTTCTGATGCGCTATTTTCCAACCCGCGCGTTGAAGTCATCTGCAAGTACAACTATGTCGGAGCTTCGACTCATCCGAATGAGATCGGTGAGTTCATCGTAGAAAGCGTCCTTTTGGGTATTAGAACCGCAATCGATCGGTGCATATGCTGATACGATGAACGAACACCTTTTGGTGCTGCTTCCCTTCCGGACGCTGATTGAATCTTGGAGACGCACTGCACATAAACGACTGTTGACGAGAATCCAATCGATAACAGATAACTCCGCCCTGTTGAGTAAAATACCTACCCCGCGTTGACCCACTGAGCGAGCTTCGTCGTCACCTGCTGTGCGAAGAACATATTTCGAGGACAAATCTGGCGCGCTCAAGTGGCTTACAATAGTAGGATCCTGAATACGAGACCTGACTGCATCAGGGTCCTCACATTGAAGGCCCCCAGATTCAGTGATTGACGAGGCTTTAGAATCTGCAATTCGCTTCGAGAGACATTACTCACAGTACTATTCGGCAACGACCTTTGGCGAGCGACATCCAAGTTGCCTGAGGGACTATTGCAGGTCGGAAGAATGGGGGAATGGAGGGCTGGGTACTGAAAACAATGAATTTAACAAAGGTTGGGATATCTGAGTAGTAGTCCACTTATCACTACCCACCCCGCTTGATGCAATGGGCAGCGAGATCCTGATTATCCTGCGCCACCACCAATGCAGTATGAAATTATTTTTATTTTGTGTATGCATTGGGGTTCGATGGACGGGTACTG